CAAAATACAAAAACATCTATGTGGTCAGTAATTGTATTTAACCTATACTGCTACTGAAAATTCATACAAATATATCAACTTCATAAAGTACTATAAATTAAACATTCCAAGGAACAATGCACAATAGATGCCTTTTACACACTTCACAATCTAAACAAAACCCAACCAATTACTGACCCATGAGGCAATTTTTCAAACACAGCTATGCACTGAGCACTCATCTCCCATGGCTTGGCATTATGCAGACAATGGATGCACACACTTGCAAGAATTAGTAATACATGTCTATTAGGTTTTCAGAACTTCTGCAACAAATTACATTCCTGAATCTCTTTTCTCCTTAGATGTCTAACTAAACTTCACAAAATGCTTACACTGCAAATCCTTAATTCCAAACCTAGACAGCAAGTCACGTTGCAATGCAGGAGCCACTAATCAGCAAGCTCTCAGAAATCCAAATTCTAGACAAGTATTGAATTTTTTCTTCATTGTGAATATAAATTAGCCAATTAAAAGGAGGGGGGAAATCCCACACAATAGGAAAGCAGCAGGAAGAAAAGCAAGCTTATTTTGTCTTTTAGAAACAGCATCTTCCATCACTGAAGAGCCAAACTCTCTTGCTTTTAATGCTAAAACATGATACTGTACTCCCAAGTCTCAGAGACAGCTGTGAGTTTATTCTGCTCTCTTTAGACTAGACTCTTGGTCACATTAGCCAATAAGGAAACCACAGAGTACAATTCATACAGAGTAAAATAAAATATTTCAAAAAATATTTAGGATAAAAATGTTATGAAATTCATTCATTTGTTTTCATTCAAAAAGCAGTTAAATTCACTGGTGAACTCTACATTTCTACCACTGTCCTATTTCATTCACATGTAAAAACACTTAATATTTAAATGTACCCATTAATTACAGATGAAAGCATAAAAATAAAATTATTATCAATGAGAGACAGATCAGTGAAATCTGGTAATGTTAATCTTTAAACAAACAATATCAAACAAAATGTTCAACTGAGTGCAGCTCAAAGTATTTCTCACATCTAAATTCAGCTGGATTTATTCTCATGCTGGAATAAGTATAAAATTAAAAAATCAAACTGTTTACAATGAGCTAGATATGTAGTCATTACCTGATGTGTCTATTAGAAAAATGGGAGTTTGCTTGAAACAAAACAAAATTAACCCATAGAATTGAAATGTCGGTCAGACAAAATGCACTCTGAGAATGACCAATACAGAAAATCAGTTGTATTGTAGACTTAGGCACTATAAAGATCTTAGTATGCCAAATTTTTATAGAACAGCAGTCCTAAAACTGTGGTAACTTTATGGAGAATGAGAAAAGAAGCCCATAATTAGAACTGGAAATTATAATCCAGAATCAGCCACAGATTCTTTTGAAATTTTGCATAAGTGAGCCACTCCATCTCATAAAAAGATGTGAAGATTAAAAAGAAAATGCTGAATGCTATAATAATTTTCAAATGTATTAGTGCTTACAAGATCTTCCTTGAAAGTCTAAATAAAGATGTGCCTCTTAGAAGAAATAATCCCCTGGAAAAATACACATAAGCCTTGGAAAAATGTACCACTGTGGCTAAAATTATGTTTTCATTTTAGAGAAAGACTGCTGAAAAAACATAAGTCAAGTGTATAACTTGATGCAACTTTCATGACTTTGATGACTCATTCCTTTAAAATTCCATTGGTCAAACTGCAAAGGTTTTCAGTGTCCATGGACTACACTGGTTGGTTCTTGTACTTTTTGCCACATAAAGTGAAAGAATTCCATTTATTCAGATGCAATTTCTCCACTCTCTTAATACATCACAAGTATCTGCAATATATGTGGAAAACAGCAGTGTTTCAAACTAAGGTTATTTTAAAAAAATATTCACAGTTTCATAATGCTCAGACCCATCCGGTTGGTTCATATAATTTCTATTCAGCACCAAACACATTTCAGCTAAGTAACAGGGAAGAAAAAAATTCAATAAAAATACTTATAAGTAGATGTTATTATTGTAAAAGTCCCTTTACACAAATTTTAAAATTAGTCTTAATAGATTCTATTATAGTTCTCACTAAATTATTAGTTTATAGTAAGAGAAACAGATTTTCTGCTAAAAATAAGAAGGTTTCAGATTTTTAGTAAAGTTAGTTTATAAATTATGATATGATTATATAATATACACATATATTAGATATATTCATAGATATCAAAGCCCTGTAGGAGCTTTGAGATCAAAGCACTAATGTGCAATACCTAAACTTGGTTGTGTGCCTCACTGTTATCTGTACTGCAGGAAACTCAGGCAACACAAACTGATACAGACACCATCAGTAGTTGGTTAGTTATTGGACTCCTGAGCCAAATGAGATGCATTTAGAATCAGCACAGGGCACTATTGGCAATAATCATTTGAATAATGTGCTGTTACACAGCAGTTACAAGAACTCCTGTCAGAGCTGTGACTGGCTTTCACGGCCATGGGAAGGACCCTTCAGGCACCCCCGGGCTCAGCCACGGGGCTGAAATACCATTGGGTCTGACTAATGTGTGTATTTTCGTACAGAAACCAGGGAACTCTGCAGCTCAGGTCAGTAACAGCTTCCACAGAAGGCAAGCAAGTCCCCCTGCACGTTTTATTTAGCTATTTTAGGACTGGGGCAGGAAAAAACCCACCTCCAGGGAAACTGAAGCAATGCACATTTTACTGATGTCAAGTATTAGCAACATATTGAAATAAGGGCAGCAGTATCATACTTCTTGCATGCAGAGTTGGAGGAAAAAAAGGTTAATAGCGAGAAAACACTACCTGAATTAACACTATGGAGTATGACTTAATATATAACCCACAGAACTAGCTTATATAGGATCGATTCTCTCCAAAGCAATTTAGCAATGTGGCAGACACTGATGGCACTGTTAGTTAAACCAAAATGCACAGAACACTGTTAACTTGCTTGTTCAGAGAAACAAAGCCTGAGGTACTTACCAGTCTAATAAACTGTACAAAACAATGACAGCATCATAAAGGAGGAAAAGTAAACTGCAGGTATAAGGTAACTAACTGAAAGCAAAGAGAGCTCAGATAACTGACATTAGAATTCATCACAAAGAAAAGTGAAAAGACAGAGGTAATAAAACAACTAAGCCCTGGTTTAAGATAAGTGAAAAGAAAAAAAAAAAAACGAGATACAAAAATATGTATCACACTAAATGCCTCAGAGTTATTAATTATGTAAGATAAATAGAGCATAGTACACTAGTTACATTTGGTTACACTCCAGAAGTCTAGTTTTACTTTACCACTATTAAATACCACCACATACAATGTAAATTACATGAGTGCACACAACCACCAAGAGAAATAAATGTTGAAATGCTGTATTATTACCTTTATTTCTCTTTGCTCTACTGACTTTTCCCATATTTGTTGATCATATGCTCCAATCTAAAAAGAATACAGAAAAAAATAGCAACATTAGGATTTAAAAGACATTGATCCAACAGAATCAATCTTCAATAACAGAAGCATGAAGGCAGCAAGGTATTTACTTAGGGAGACTTGTTTACAAAGAAACCTTTATCTTCTCTGCTCCATCTTGGCTGGACAGGATCTAGCTAAGCTGTACAAGAGTTGTGATATAGGGCAGAGGTGAGCCAGACAGCCCCAGCCTCATCCCAGGTGTTGTGCAAGTCACACAACTGGGAAAACCACACTCCCTCCCATTTCAGGTCAGGATTCCAGTCCCTGTACTGACAGAGAGCAGAACTATGGTAGCAACACTGACAGTAAACTTTAGGGAAATACCACACATAAGTAGCTGAACCATACCTTCGATTAATTTTTTTTTTTTTAAAACCATCTCCCTCTCTAGTTCCCATTTCATTCCACTCACTTCTACAGCTACACAGTCTTTAGTGTTATCTCTTCAGAGCACACAGCAGCAAGATATATGGTCAAGCTGGTAATCAACTCGATTACAGGCCAGGGGAAACTCAAAGAATATCAGGAAACTGCCCTTTTCCCGCCAAAGAACCGATGTTCCTAGTAGACCTATTCCCAAATTTGTTCACTCTCATTTAGCTGCTAGTCTCTTTCTTCAGGAAACTCTTCCAAATAACTTAGTTTTTTAAACCTGAGCAAGTTTTTAGTTAAAAAATTGAAATAAAAAGGAAGTGTTTTCTCTCAGGCTCTAACCTCACCGCAGCGTTGTAGAAAACTGTACTTGTGAGAGCAGAACCCCAGACTGTTGAGCTTTAAACCCAGTCAGCCTCTAGGCACCACACAGCAGCTCACACAGCCCCAGAGCAGCTACTGTGAAGAAAATTAATTCTATCCCAGCCAAAACCAGCACATGGTCCTGCAAGCACCAACTCCTAGCACTAAGACCAGTTTCAATGGATTATGTCATTTTAAATAACCATCAATATAGGTAGCTATACAGGTAACTATAGTTAATTTAAGAAATTACTGTGCACTTACTTATCCAACATACAGAACTACTCTATGACTGTCAGATATTTTGAAGAAGGACAACCTTGAACTTCAGGAAATTCCCATGTAAGATGGTGACAAGAACAACTCAATATAAGATACAATATATCCAAGTTTTGTAAGAAGTTATCAGAGATCATCAGTGCTTTGAACTCCGCACATTTAGTATTTCTAGGTAATATTCAGTAATGATCTCTTTTACTCTGGCAATTTGAAAGCCTTGCCATCCCAGCAGTTCTACCTAGACATATAAATCACGTGCACACACACTGCTGGTATCTGGGGTTTGATCCAGATCACAGACTGAGCAGTTAAGTGCAGGATCACTTTTAGGTCTCGAGGGAGAGACAGGTGTGGTTCCTGTGGATCCTTTACTAACATGCAGAGCTGATGATACAAGCAGGTCAGTCAGACACCTGAGAGAGGCAAGAGGAACAACTCCCATCATTTGAGCAAATCTGCTTAAATTCAGTCTTACTGCCAGGGTATGACTCGTATGACTCCTCCTTCGAGTTCACAACTGCAACAAACACTAAAGACCTGAGCACAAGTGCACACACCTTGTACCAGAAAACGTTATTCTGATTTCTCTTTTATTATTTCAGCCTTCATTAATTTAGATGTTACAAAAAAAAAAAAAAAAAAAAAAAAAAAAAAAAAAAAAAAAAAAAAAAAAAAAAAAAAAAAAAAAAAAAAAAAAAAAAAAAAAAAAAAA